GGGGTCTTCAGGAAGATATCTGGTTTTTTCACCTGATAGGGATTTGTGCCGATTTTTTGTTAAAAGAAGAGAGTTTAATCGTGAAATCAAACAACGGAAATGAAGAGCGTCCGTAAATGCCGCGCATTGTTTAACACCCCTAGCTTCCGTCTACTATAGGACGGCATAAATACGAGTGCTTTATTGTCATTTCTGCCGTCCGTGCGAATTTATCACCTCTCGCAGTCGTGAAAACGGGGGAAAGCGCACCGAGTACAATGCTTGCTAATTTCTCCATTTTGATATTTGCCTCTCCGACCGAAGTGGTACTGAAGCTCATGCTCGTCCTTTCTACAAATACGAGCACACGACGATCATGTCAGATCACAACAGGGCCCCAGTGCGTCTCACAGAACAGGTCGCGTCGGCTGCCAAAGACGGCAACAAATAAGCAGACCAGTACCTGGTACTCAATATACATTTTACACAAACGCTTTATAATTATTGCATTTTGGTTAGTATACTTGTTTTCGTCAATAAACCTAATATAAGTGAGAAGTTTATGAGTACAAATATTCGCCGCAATAAACCGAAAACGTTTGTTTGGAATAAAAACCGAAAAAAAAGGTGCGCGGAATTTCAAATAATACAAACCGAAAACGCCGAACTCTAGCTATATTGTCTATGTCATGTTTTGACGCTGTGCTATTTTGTCGCTGTGCTGCTTTGACGTCGTGCTGTTTTGACGCCGTGCTGTTTTGGCACGTGTTTTTCTCTCGCTGTGCCGTTTTGACGCTGTGCTGTTTTGTCGCGTGCTATTTTGACGCGGGCTGTTTTGTCACCGTGCTGTTTTGACGCTGTGCTGTTTTGACGCGTGCTGTTTTGACCGTGCTGTTTTGTCGCGTGCTGTTATGTCGTGTGCTGTTCTGTCATGGTGCCCGTTTTTAGATGCTTATCAAGTACTTGATAGCAAGGAACACGGGTTTCGAAAAGGTATATCTACCACTACTCAATTAGCAGAACTAATTCATGATTTTTCTTCGACTCTCGACTATAGAGGCCAGGTCGACATAATATTTTTAGACTTCCAGAAGGCCTTCGACAAGGCGAACCATAATAAGCTGCTCGTTAAGCTAGAGCCTTCGCTAAAGAATCCCAAACTCCTGCGGTGGATTGAAGCGTTCTTGACTCTTAGAAAGCAATTTGTTTGTATTGCTGGGGATGATTCGATGCTACGAGAACTTTACTCGGGAGTCCCACAGGGATTTGTACTCGGACCCAGTGGCGTACCAACTTGTTTTTGAGTGGGAAGGCAAACCAACGCCCCCCCCCCCCCCCCCCCCCCCCGAGCCGGGGGGCGCTGCCCTTGGTATCCCTCGGCGCCTCCGGCCAGTGTTTGCCCTGCCCAGTCGGGGGCAAAACACATGCCTTGCCCCTCCCCCGGTTGGTACGCCCATGCTCGGACCCTTGTTATTTTTAATTTTTATAAATGACGTCCTTCGTGACATTACTGTAAAAGCAAGGCTCTTCGCTGATGATTGCATTTTATATAATTATATAAACGATGACAGTGATTCCATCGAGTTGAACGGTTGTTTACAAAAAATTAGCAAGTGGTGTGAAAGCTGGCAGATGTCTTTAAACCTGGAAAAGACCGTTTGCATGTCAATGACACATAAGAAAACTCCTGCGGTGCCTAACTAACACTTAAAAGGAAAGCCTTTGTCTAGAGTAAACGAATTTAAATACTTAGGGGTAACAATAACCAGCGATCTTCGATGGGACAGTCACATTAATAATATAATTAAGAAAGCTACAAGTAAACTTCGGTCATCAAGAAGGTCGTTAAAAATGGCCACACCGGAAACTAAACTGTTAGCTCTTAAAATGATGATAAGACCAAGTATAGAATATGCCAGTGAAGTGTGGGACCCGTACACAAAGAAGCTAGTATTAAAATTAGAGAGGATTCAGAAATTGGCGTTACGCTTTATTTTCTCGATGTATAGGAGGCTACATTCACCCACGGAACTGTATTCCAGGGCAGTAATCAATCTACTGGAAGAGAGACAGAGAAATAAACGTTTGAAAATGCTTTACTTGATTTTAAAAGGGACACTTCTGCTAGACAAAGATAGATTGATAAGACACCATACCTCTAGAATTACGCGAAACAAACACACTAGAGCACTTGAAGAATATCGATACGCCTAAAATTGCTTTAAAAATGCATATTTCCCCCGAACGATAAAGGAGTGGAATGCGCTGCCAAATAGCACTGTTGCAGCCAACACCGTTTCTGACTTTATGAGAGGTCTGCAAAAGTTATTGTAAAAATTATGTATCTAAATTTGTTGCTCACAATGCTTTGTGTATTTCTTTTTTGTGAGTGTGTTTCTATTGTGTTTGACAATATAACCGTAGAGTACGCTGGTAATGTTATGTTGTACACCATATCGCTTCTTCTGTGCGCCTGTTCGCCGACGATTGTGTCATTTGCCGACCCATTCTTTCATACCATGATCATCATGCTCTCCAGGAAGACCTAGAGTCTGTAATCCATTGGTGTGAAAAATGGCAGATGACATTAAACTTCAATAAATGTAGATCCCTATCAATTTCCCGCAGTTCGCGTGTCACACCATTTTCGTATTACCTCTCTAACACTCAAGTAATAGCATGCTCATCTTATAAGTACCTGGGTGTTCATCTCACCTCTAACCTATCATGGACTACTCACATAACTTCTGTTATTTCTGATACTAACCGTTCTCTCGGATACTTGCGCCGTAACCTTAAACTTGCTACACCCTCCGTAAAACGACTAGCGTATACTACTCTTATAAGATCGAAATTAGAATACTCCTCATCTATATGGTTCCCATGGCAGTCCTACGTTGCAAATAATCTAGAATCCGTCCAAAACAGAGCCCTTCGTTTTATTTATAACAACTACTCACCATATGCCAGCATATCAGGATTACGCCAATCAGCTAACCTTCATTCACTTTCCCTTCGCCGCCGAGTATCACGCCTTTCTCTGCTCCATCGAATTTTTTATCACAATAGCCACCCCAAAGAATCACTGCTATCACCTCCCCATCGTATTTTCCCGCGTCTAGATCACCTATGTAAATTACGTCCAATTCGATCAACTGTTTCTCACCAGACTTCCACACTACCATTGGCCGTCGAGGATTGGAATTCACTACCTCATAACATCGTTCCTATTAATGATACTACTAAATTTGTTGAAGCCATTACCCTCTCTTTATCTAACCTACCTAACTAGCTTACAGTGTTATAATTGTGTTTACTGTTCTATTTGTTTTTGTTCTATTGCCACCCCCTTGTATAATGCCCCACGGGCCCTCAAGGAAAATAAATGATGATAATGATATTCTGCGTGGCTATTTTATGTTCACTTTTGTTGCTCACCCCTATTATGGTCCCCGTTGTGAGGACTATTAGTATTGTCAACTAAATAATAAAGAAATAAAATGCGGGGAAGGAACCCAGCGGGACAATGGCTCGGGGCCTGAAGGTCGCGACGTCCCGTTGCCACAGCCGCTAACACAATGAGCCCGAGGCCTCGTCACGCAAAAAGAGAGGGGAACCACCCGAACATTATGGGAACGCACAGTCGCATTATCTTGACTCATTAACCTAGGCTTTTATCAGCTCTCCTGTCTCATCAACTTTGTTTCTTTTCTTTTTTGGCGGGTCTCTATTGTTTTTATTGTCTGGTACCTTTATTTTTTTTTTTCCATTCAGCACAGCTACATCAGCCGCCGTTCCTACAAACACTCCAAAAAAGACTCCCGATTTTTTTTGTTTTTTTTTTGTTTGCGAAGTAATTATGTATTGCGTTTTTCGCCGAGACGCTTTATTGGCGAGCTTTCGCAGCGGATTCCGGGGTCTGTTTAGCGTGCGGTGTAACGTCGTGGTCCGCTAAATTTAGCGGGGAATTCCAGTGTCACGGGAGACTTGGACGTCACGTAAGGCGGCAAGGTCACGTGAAGCGTTTCCGCGTTAAATTTAACGGGCAAATTGTGACCTCACGTAAGATTGTACCCCTTGCGCCAAGGCGAAATTTTGAATGGCGATGGAGAACGATGGTGTGCAGCCGAGTGGGAAGCGCCCCGGCTGTCGCTGCACTTGATTTGCGGGACACGACAAGAGAGAACCGGCAGTTCGTTTCGTTTTCTTCAATAACGTATACGTGAACCCTCTGTGGGCAACCGTTGCAACTGTCCACTTAAAAGGGCTTTTCTGATTTCCTTGGTGTCTTGTCGCTAAGTTCCGGTGGAGCGAAGAGCGGAGTCTGTGAGCGCCGGCAGTCCTCGTAATTTCAGCGCCGCTGTTCTCGAATATCCGTCGTTGTAAAGATATCGACAGGTTGTTTAGCTATATATGAAAAAGAAAGAGTGGATCGTGAGGCGTGACGTGAAAACGAAACCTACGTATATTTAAGGGCAAAATCGATCGAAACTAAAGCAAGTGTGCAGGTGAGCTGGTTTAATACTGACATTGTTACCCAGGGAAAGGGGACAAATAGACAAATACATAGCTCCAAAAGTGGAGCTTTGTGTTTGTCCGTTCCGTATTTTCCCTCATGGGTTACCATGTTAGTAAAATTGGCCTTGGGTGTTAGCGCATCGCCGCTCAAAGCACGAGGAGCGAAAGTTTGCGCTGCAGAAGCCAGAAATCCTGGGTTCAATCTCCACATCCAGCCGTTTCGATCCGAATGAGCATCGTACCGGCTTGCGCTCGTGCACGTACTACTGCGTGATGCGCGTCAAATGGCCCAGGCTAGAAACAATAGCCGCTGTATATGACCTGCTGTCATCTACAGCGTTGACACTCTAGACGCCCACAGGGGCTGACTTCCCGGTGTGTACTCGTACGCACAACACGATTGTCATCGACTGGAAGGATGGTACTTCGGATGAAAGCGTCTCTGCATAGTTGATCGGACGTGTTCGGAGATGGTGGACCGACGTCTTTTTTCGTCCTCCCAGCTGAAGAGCGCCGTCCTGGTGGAGCGGTACATGGCCCGCCTCCGCGCCGTGCAGCCGGTCATCAACGCCGTCGTCGAGGACCGCTTCGAGGAGGCCATGGACGAGGCCCGCGCGGCAGACCGCCTGGTGGCCTCCGGAGAGGTCTCCCGGGAACAGCTGGCCAGGGAGAAGCCCTTCCTGGGCGTGCCTCTCACCACCAAGGACTGCTACGCCGTCAAAGGTGGGGCCACACCTCCCGTTGTCACTGGACGAGGAAGGCAGGACGTGTCTTTTGTAAAGCCCTGCAGAACGCGCTGCAGGCCTTTTGCCGTGCCATAGCCTCCTCTATATTCACAAAGCCTGGCAGTTCCGCGGCGGAGCCATAGAGTGCCCGGTCGCAGATTTGGAGCGCGAGGATCTGGTAGCACAGAGCATCAAAGAGACATTTCTCGGGGAACCTGAACGTCAGCGCACAGCTTTTGCAGTGGCGAGGACCCGAAATACACTTGTTCGCTCGGTAAAAGTGTGGTTCGGCGTCTCGCCGCAGCGGGGCGCCAGTCACGTGGCTCTCCTCTTCTCCGTTGTCTGCCGCTCCGCCTTTTCCATTTCGGCGGCCGCTTCTCGTGGCGATCTGCCAGGCTATGTCAGTATATAGGAGGCTGTGGTCAAGCTTTGTCTGCGCGCTTGACGTGCACGAGACGCTGAAGCGATGTAGAAGGTAGGAAGCTCGCGCTGGGGGCGGGACAACTGACGCTCTTCCCCTTCTTTCCTGCCGTTCTCACCTTGTCAGTTACTATAGACCTTTTCATCCTCCTCTGCATGGGCGCTGCCATCTTGGAGTCACGTGACGCGGCAGCCACCAGGTTGCTTCAGCTTGCTGTTCCGCTCTCCCCTCCGCGCCTTGGCGGATGCGTTGTATTCGGGTTTTTCTTCGCGTTTCACCGTGCTTTCTTGCCGTACTTCGGGAACTGTAGTCCAATACGTCCACTCGACAACTAAGACATTATGCATGAGGGTTCAAATGTCCTTAGGACAACTGAGGTTTGTTTACTAATAGTAGCGGAACTTTTTCAGTAAGAAGCGCGTATATTCATATCACGCATTTTGGATCGGAAGGAGCGCAAGGAGATTATCTGCATTTCCTGAAAGTATCGTTCTTTGTATTCATAATATATTGAAGATTGTTTCCTTTAAAATTTTGAGGAAACTTGCGGAAGAGATAGACAACGAACGTTTAACTTGTATTTTATCTGAGGCTAGAAGTAATAGCACGTCAACATCAGGCGATTTCTTTGTTCATAATATCGCACCTACATGTGTATGTGGTTCTCATTTCTTTTTTGCGACGTAAATAATCGGTTGGTCGGTTTACTTATGAAGTGTAAGAAATTGTATACCGTACTCGCTCCTATTTCGGCAGTCATTTAATTGATTTATGGATTATATTTAGATAACCAGTGCCATCCACATAATTTATTTTAACACAATTTTAACACAAACTTCCCGCTTAAGAAGCTGCCACGAACATTTAACAATAAGGGGTTTTAGAGTAGCGTGAACTAAGAAATGACGTATTTTCTATTTGGAAATCCAAAAACTCGGTTTAGGTTCGGCGCATGCGCAATAATGACGTCGTTTTTTTTTTATTTGCGCACGCTGGTTTTATATTTGCCAGTATCTGGAATCTGCAATATTTGCCGAAAAAAAAAAAAAAGACGTCAGCATAGCAATTACCTGAGTCCGAGATTGTCAATGGCGAATAGAGGTTCACTTTCGGTGGCTGGCGACGCCGAAATTTACAAAGCGAACCTGTTCAAACAAATAAATGTTTGTTCACACAAGTCCGTGAAATGGTTCCAAGCGCTTGAATTCAGTCAAACTTTCCGAGGTATTTCTCCTCCTGCGCCCTTTATTTTTAATTGGCCAATTTTACGGGAGACAAATGGCAGATTTAATTTGACGGGCCTGTCACTTATATCATATCTTGAGTAAGCGAATATTCGTATGAAAATATTTTATTTCCTAGGGCCAATATCGCGAAATGCTGCTAATGAGTTCTTTAGCGGGGTTGATAATTGAACAAATTTCCTACTCGGCCTCTCAAAACACGCTCGAGTGCTGAATTAAAAAAGGGCATGAGACGATACTACTTGTTTATATCAATTATCTGCGTCATTACACGATACGTTTTTAGTCTGCGAAGTTCACTAAAGGTTGAGTGCCCACGAAAACCAAAGAGTGAGTAGTAAATTCGCGAGTTTAACTGTTCTGTTCGATTCAGCACAGTACTAACCAAGCTGTCGATATTCTTCTTTACATTCAGGTGTTAGTCTCTTCAATAGTTTGCTTTCCTCGAAACTGGTGTCACCGGGTACGGCCGTAGACGATGGTAATCTTTCCTGTACATCAGTCAGGCGTTTGGCAACCGACCATAATCAAATCATCAAATGAGTTGGCAAAAAAAAAAAAAAAAAGCCCGCAATTTAGGCTAAAATACGCCTCGTAGTCCTGAAAGTGGTTCAGTACCACTGTTTCATTGGTTGTGTGCTACAAGGAAAAAAATCCTATCGCAAAATAACGCAAAAAGAACGTAAAACAGCAACATAGCCGCGTTCACGTTGAAACCGAAACCAACCAAATTGAAGCAACCTAATGGCGCCGAGCGCATCAGCGGCCTCTATCCGCCGGTGAGGCAACTACTAAAATGAAACGGTCTATAGATGCACGACGAGCTATAGTACGGTGGGCTACAAGGGAGGGCGTGACGAGAGCGAGAGCGGTCCCGCGATTCAAGCCTACGGGAAGTTGCGTAATCTGTATCCGGGAAGCAGTGCCGCCTTGCACTTTACGGCTAGAAGAAAACATGGCCAGCGTGGGCGGATTGAGCATTTTACTGCAATTTATTCTTCAGTCCAAGAATGGGAACACGAGCCCTTATATATATATATTTTCTTAAATATTTCTTGACTGCTCTTTTTATTTTAGAACCCAATTTCCGAAGGATTAACGGTACTTTGCCGTCGTGGCACTTCACCCACCTTGCAGATCGTACCATGGTGATAGTGAAGCACGAAGTGCGGCACGGCTTTCGGTCGCTAGGTGAAGCGAGCGATCAGCACACCTCCCCCTCTAGCCCACCACAGCCGTATAGTGCTGGAGTCTCACCTACCGAAGGTTGGACACAGGAGCTGCGTGGTTGTTGGGCTCGCTCGGTGAGGACACGAGTCTCAACTAGGGATGCCGCGAACTTTTTTCGAATCGAAGTTTCGATGATCGAATCAAGCGGTTCGAAAGGTTCGAAAGATTTCGATTTTTCGAATTGTCTATATCGTAAAATTCGACAGAGGTCGAATTTTCGAACTTGTTAAGCTAAGAAGTTCGACGCTTTTCGAACCGTCGAACTTATTACGCTAAAAAATTCGATCTTTTTCGAACTTTCGAACTTACTGCGCTGCAAGGTTCGATGCTTGTCGAACTTTCGAACTTGACTGACCAAAAAATTCGAGGAATTTCGAACTTTCGAACTTATTTATCAAGAGAATTCGAAAAGTTTCGAACTTTCGAATTCTGAAAAGTCAGAAGTTCGACGAACTTCGAACTTTTAGGGTAAAAGTTCGACGTTCGTCGAACTTCGAAAGACCGGCGGACGGTTTCATTTGATTTCAAGTAGTGGGGTACATTCGTAATTTTTTTTTCTCGAACTTTTACACGCGGTGCTGCGTTCCTTACGAAAGACAATGTCGTTTATTTCAAAGTTCTGGCATGCTTAGGTTTAAAGAAATAAATCCCCGAAGGGGCGAGGAAGGACGACGGGTTTTTGACGATTGTCGTTTGTGCCAGATTTGAAGCAAGCTGCAGCCGGACCTATTTATAGCAGATATGTTATACTTTTTTTAAGAATGATCTATGTATAGCCTAGGTAAGTGCCGTCTTAAGATGTGATTATTGTTATTCAACGTGAGTTTCGAAGAAATGTCCAAACATGTATCTGCACGCAATTATGACCTAAACTTGACATTTATTTTCGTCTAAGTTGTTTGAGGTATCGCATTTAAATTAACACCACAGGCAGTACATATCATTGCCATCTGCAGAATACAAAATAATATATTTATTGTTTTTTCACGTTAAGGAATAAATTAACTCATGGGAGAAGATTTCTAGTAGTGTTCAAGTTCAGCACGTCATTAAAAGAAAACTTTTTTTTCTTTTCGCTTCACGTTCCTGGGACGTGTTTCTTTTAGCCTGTACACATTTTGGTAAAAGAAACTTGTTTCGAAGTTCTGAACCTCTGAATATGCAAGAATAGAACACTTCCGACGAATTCTTGATAGTTTTTTTTTTTCTCCTGCTTTTTATTCCCGCATCTATTCTTTTTTTTTTTTTTTTTTGTTACTATCGGCACAGGTGTTTAGGTCGAAAAGACAGATTTGAACTTCCGAACCACTAAGCATGTGACGAGCAGTGCCTTCTGACAACGAGTTTCTAACCATGACCATCTACGCAACCTTTTATGCAGTGAAGAGCGACAGTAGCTATACATATGCATAAATAATTTCAGATTAAAATAAGCTTGACCACGCCCTCTTTCCCCGTATTGTTTTCTTTAACAGTCCGAAATACCTGCAAGGGAAAGAAAAAGGCTGAAGCCCAGCCCCCCCCCCCCCCCCCCCCACCCTCTTTCTCCCCGTTTTTCCTCTTCCGACGCCACTTATATGGTAGAACGCTCCTCGACTTTTGTCGGCTTTTGTGCTTTTTGCGAGGCGATTCCTCCGTCCCAGAAAATAAACCTCCAGGACAATTATAAACTTCACCGGATAGGATTACTACCAGCGTGCAAGGGGTGGCGAGCTAGTTTGCCATGTCGCTTCAAGGTTTTTCTGAGCCTCAACCTCCTGCTCGCCCCTGGCCGTTTCGAACTGGATGAGTCTCGTAAAACAGTGTGTTCGTGCAATCACTACTGCGTGACGCAGGTTAAAGACCCCCCCCCCCCCTCCTCCCCCCCCGGGGCTGGCGATGACAATTCTGCACTGGCAAATATTCTTCGCAGAATCTAGATATCACACCATGTATCACACCCTAACTTTTCTAAACTTGATTTTGTGAAAACCAGTGAGTCGTGAAAACGTTATTTGAAACTGAAACCGTGGAAAAACTTGAAAATCGGACTTCGAACTTTGAAAACTTGGATTAGAAAGAAATTCAAAATCTTCAAAGTTTTTTTTTTTTTTTTTTTTTTAA